CGCACCGGGGCCGCCCCTGCGCGGAACGCCGGGAGCTGTAGTCCGGCCCACCCTGCCGGAGGCTGCGGCACCGGTCCCAGCGCTCTCTCCCGCTCCCCTCGGCAACTCACGGAGGCGAAGGAGGCTTGGAGTGAAACTTCATTTATTCCTTAAATAAAACCTGAAGGCGGTTTGGTGTCGGGTTTAGCAACACACGGGGGACGGGGGGGACACGGCAGGATGGCCAGAACCAGAGCAGGGACCCTGCCTCACTGGGACAGGGATACGGGGACCTGCCCCCTGTATCAGCCCCCCCAGGGGAAGGCACGAACCCCCTCACCAGCCCGGGAGCAGTCAGGACAAACTCAGGAGCATCAGCAAGGAGATGGAGCAAAGCAGAACTCATGAGACCCTTCCCAGTGACACGAGGTGTGGGGACACCCGAGGACACTGGCACGTGGGAAGAGGACACTGGGGGCTGGCAGGGATACAGAGAACGTGCCGGGCAGAGGGCAAGGTGGGGAGCAAAGGCTCCAGGGCAGGGGCAGGTGCCAGGGGGAGCAAGGAGGCACTGGCCACAGGGCAGGCAAAGAGGGAGAAACTGTTTCACCCCTCACTAGGAGTGAGGAAGGAACAGAGGAGGCAACAGGGGCCCCTCCCCAGCTTTAGGCTCCACCACAAATCAGGCCTGGATGGCTGTGGCTGGACACAGGCTGAAGCTCCACTAGCAGCATATGCAGTGCTGGTGCCTGTCCCAGTCCCAGCCTCCTCCCTGCACATGGAGCAGGCTCAGCCCAGAAGAGGAGAGAGGGAGGGGATGAGGAAAAGGACGAGAGACTGCCTCTGTGCTCAGGACCGTGGGGACAGAGCCAGAGAATCAGGTCCCATGTCAAAGGCAAGGCATGGCAAAATCCTCCAGGCAAGAGACAGCCCCTGCACGCCCTGGGACTGGGGAAAGGGGAACACCGGGTGGGGAACAGGAGAGCCCTAAGAAAGGCAGGGACAGGCAGCAGCCACTTCAGTCCCTGTCACATGTCTGGAGAAGGCTTGTCTTGGCCACAGCACCTCCCATCCCATCCTTCCCCCATCCACTGCAGGAAGGGACCAGCACAAACACAACAGCCTCCATCCGTGAGGAAAGGGGTTAGAGCAGCGGACTATTCAGGCACCAGCACTTCCAAGCTGGGATGAGGCAGCCTCTGACAGCTGATGCAGACACACGAGGATCCAATGAAAGTGCAACTTGGATTTCCTCTTCCTTGGAAAGAGCCCATGGGAGATGAGAAGCCGGGGCCCCCACCTGGCTAGGGCGCGCGGAAGGCATTGGTGGCAGCTCCGGCAGCAGCGTTGGCCGCCGCGGTGCGCACTGCCTGGTTGGAGAAGACCCCGGCAGCAAACTCCTCCTGTGCCTTCTGGAAGCTGGCACCTGTCCGGCGGTACAGAGAGTGGATCTGGAAGAAAAGGACAGGCTTGGGGACAGTGCACCGAGGACAGCCCCGTTCCAGGCTCCCAGTGAACAGAGCTGTGCTCCTGCACCTGCCAGAACCCACCCGTATCCCCCCAGAAGGAACACTCAGGCCCTGAGGTTCCATCCAAACTCACCTTTTTCAGCATAATGATGCCCAACACTGCCACTCCTGTGAAGGACAAGGACACCATCATCATCATCACAGCCACAGCTGTGTTCTTCCGCAGAGCTATCAGGCTCAGTATCCAGCCACTGCAAAACAAGAGGCGGTTGCCCACAGGTTCCTCCTTCCTCACCCACCTCCTCCCTTTTCGAGGTACTCAGCTGGCCAGGCTCCCACAGCACGCACCAGAATCCCCAGTTTGGTATGCCAATCGCCTGCAGCACGTACATCACATTCTGGGCAAAGAAGACGAAGAAGAAGACAAAGAAGTTGAACGAACTGTCGCTCCTGGGAGAAAGAGACAGATGAGGTCAGGCCACAGAAGACAACTCTCAAACCCTTCTCACAGCTGGGGATGCAAGGAGAACATGCAGGCCCAGAGGTGCAGCCACTAGTTAAGGTGCTTAAAGCAAGCAGAAATCCAAGGAAGAAGTGTAAGGCAGTGCAAGGATCTTCAGCAACAAGGTCCACAGGAAAACACATTCCTGTGAACTTCTCAGAAGAGCTCCATCCATCTTGCTCAGGCAGAAGCTCAACGTGGAAGCACAGCATCCCCCAAACCCAAAGACCACAAAAGGAGCTGGGACACCATCAGGGTGAAGGCCTGTTCTACCGAGCAGCTCCGACTCCTCATCTTCCAACACCAGCCTTGCAGCCATCCCTGGCAGATACCCACCTGAAAGCTTTGTACATCGGCCTGTACCAGCAGACAAAGGAGCAGGGCGTGTAGAGAAGAGCCCAGAGAATGGAGAGGCCAAACCCAGAACCGGACGAGGGATCCACGCAGAACCAGGCCAGTGACGACAGGAAGTTCACAAAGAGAGCAATGGTGCTGGCTGAAGGAGAGGAGATTGGTCAAGCCCCCTCCTCCCAATAGCAGGGGCTCAGTTCTTAGACCTGGGCACTGACTGCTAATTGCAGCTTCTCCAGAGCAGCAGCGTTCATGAAGGAAGCTCAATCCTCTACATCCTGCCGGGATCTGCCCAGAGACTCCCCAAGGGACTCACCCATCCAGAGGTAATACATGGTGGAGACGGTCTTCTGGAAGTCTGCAGGAATCTCCACTGGGATGTCCTGGTAGAAGCAGGGCTTCACCGGGCAGAAGGATGGCAACGGGGGCCAGTTGTTCAGCCTCGCTGCGGAGGAAAGGAGGCGAGGAGAGAGCGGCAGTGCCCGGGATGGTGGGGCCGGGGAGCCAGCAGCCCTCAGCCCTCCCTCGCCCCGCAGCC